AAAGGCACCATAATTTTAATTATACATCAAGTTGTTGTTGAAGTGTACTTTTTTTACAATTGGGGTTGATTTTWCKATGTTCTTGTAAACACAGTAAGACATACTGTTTTTGCTTCCTCATCTAATGTTAATGATGCATTAAAATCCAAATTTCACTGCTCTTTCTGCAGTATCATTGATTATTGTTAGTGAATTTATTATATTTTTTTCATTCACRAWRWMTGTATTTGATTCCCAAGATTTAGGATCCTTTTTAAGAAGCCATCATTAATTTTGAATCGAGAAAATAATTTCAAGCTACTTTCTGATAGAAATTCATCAGTATTTTTTTTCTGAAAAGATGGTAAATTGATTGTTTGTTATTTTATATTAATTTTTAATTTTTTTTTTAAATCTATTAAATAAACTAGATGTTTTACTTACCTAAAAATGTATTGTTTATTTGGTTTGGTTGAATAATCAATCGTTTTGTCGGGTTTTTGATTCGTTTTTTTTTCAAAGCTTTTACCATCTGACGCTTTGTCTCAAGTGGTATAGAATCATCAAAAAAAGATAATGCAGCAGTTTCTTCGGTTAAGTACCCCAAATGATGACATATTTTTTTAATCGATACTTTAGATATGTCTTTATTAACTGTTTCAAATGATTTTAAATCTTTTATAAATTGTAAGTCTTGGTTGGGAGATTTTGCTGGCAATGGGCAATTAAACCAAGGTTTAACATAAAATATAATGATTAAAACACAAATCTCTCCAATTGCCTTTTTAACAGACTCTGSTACTCTGCAATATTATAATAATTTCTAAATAAAAATATTTTCAAGCAATAAATTGTCCGTGCCATCCACCGAGCTTGATGCATAGCACCAGGAGGATGAATTGTTWTATTGTTTTCCAAATCACCACCAAGAAACTAATTCTAAAAATTCACAGTAATCTTCTCGAGAGTGTTTAATTTTTAATTTATTTTTGAAAAAACTAAGAATATCTTCCTTTACATTTTCTAAAATAGCACCACATGCTTGATCTTCAATCCCACTATAATATTTATTTGCATGTATTTCGCACCATTGTTTTTGAAAATGTTTAAATAACGGAATACTTGGGCTTGTAGTAACTTGAGGTATTTTAATTTCAAAAACGGCTCTCAAAATAAAGTCATATATATGATGTCTACATGGAAGATAAAACAAGTCTCTACCTAACATTTTTCAATTTAAATTCACGCTACATTTAAACGACCGGTATTGGATGCAGTTGTGTCACAACACAAAGCTTGTACTATATTGCATAATCCCCAATCTCGTAATGCATAACACACAGCTGCAGCTTGTTCTTCACCTGTTGATCGCTCAAGTTTTGGTACTCCTAAAATTTGTTCTATATTTTTGCTAGTTATCACGATTGGAAGTCGTTCAACAGTTGCATTTCTAGTTGTAGTATTCGRTAACATTTTTCCATCCCGATGTACAACTGCGTTATTAGGTAGAGATTTTTTAAATTGTAATTTTATTAGTTCACCACGCTCGCAACGGTATGATTCTCGAGCTCTGTGTATAGAAGTCTGGTTTATAACTAATCATCTATATTAAAATTTAAGGCTTCTAAAGTAGCCTGGAGAACATATACAGAATCTCGAATACTTAATTGACATCTATCTAACGCTCCGGCCAATTTTGGTGTTATAAAATTTCTTTTTCCAMGGCATTTCTTTTTTTTAGTTGGTGGTTATATTAGCTCTAAAGAATTAATGCTGGTTTCTAATATCAATATATCGCTACTTTCTAGACTATCAGTTTCTAAATTTTTCTCAGACGAGAAATCGAGTATTGTCGAAGTTGAAGCACAATTTGTATTATACATTTCTTTTCTTTTCGATTCATTCAACTTTCGTTGAATGTGAATATTTTCTTTTATTGCTCCTTTAATATCTATACCTCCGAGACAACCAGGACGCCCTGGTAAACGCTGGTTTATTAGAAACTGTTTATCAACTTCAATTTTAAAAATTTCAATGCATCAGAATGAGCAATATCAAATAACAAATTTAATTTTTTTTTAAATCATTTTCTTTAACCGATAAGATTCACCAACTTTTTGAGTATTTTTCTGGWGACAATTCGTCATACAAGTTAATTAATTTAGTTATGCAATAATGAATAGCTCGAATAGGAATCCTGGCTTTTTCCCAAAAAATGCAACACTCTCGTACAGCTAACGTCGCACTTTCCCTAGTAGTAAGATTAACGGTTCTCATATTGTAGAAAAATACAGAAAGTACTTGCCCGTTGGATGGAAGTTTTGAGCTATGAATTTGTGTGATTTGAGATCCAATTAAAAATATTTGAAAATCTATTCTAAGTTTTATTCACATATTTGCTATTTCAATTATTATGATTTACTAACGACAATCACAATAATAAACTTTAACACATAAGACGTTGACACTACTGAAATAAATGAGTATCACCAACAAAATAATATCTATTATAAATTATAAAGCAAGACTAGTACCTACGGAAACTTAATGCAATAAGTTATAGATAAACAATAACTACGTATTTCAACACATCTTAATCTTATTTCACAATCTTATCGTTTATTATTTATACGAGTGGTATAATACGAATATATGAAGAACCAATAATTACAAAATAAGAATATAAGAAGTATATAATATTACTGTGAACATTTTATCATTTTACCAAATATTATAAGTTAAGAATATTATTATTAATCCTACAGTGAAATAATGAAATGTAAATAATGTATTTGTGGAGAAATTGTGTATTTTAATATTAAAGCTTATGCATCTTATAAATTAATAGATTTATCAAAAATTTTATATTATAAAATATCTTGGAAATTTAATTTACCTGAAAAAACGTAATATATAAAATTATGGTTTTCATAACGGTTTATAAAATAATGAMGGAAATACAAAAATTGTCCAAAATTATTTAAAAATGTAAAATGCTCAAACTTTAACTTCAAGTCGGAACTTTATTTGATTGACCTAAAATTTTTTGCAGTTCATTTTTATATGTATACACACCGATTTAGGGGGTGAGACCAAAAATATTTTGAAATTGAAAATTAAGGAACACCCTAATATTTATGTACATATCACTATATCTATGTTGTATGTTTATCCTTTATTTAAATGCTTTATAATATATTAAGCATAATTTTTACGTTTTTCCAATAATCACGCTTGGATAAATACTGCAATTATAATTATATAAAATTTCGTCACAATCGGTCCACCAATTGGAATTGGAATGCATAAAGGATAAACAGACAGAATCCATTTGTATTGTATAAATTGCCCATTAAACATACTAACACTTGTGATTTATTAATTTAATTAATTAATTAAATAAAACACTTTTAGTTATTCTTTACATAAATTAAGCTACTGTGTATATCAAATAACAACCTTTATGTGATACAACTTAAAACAGTTTTAAAACAAATTTGTCTTAACTATGAACATAGAATTATAATTGATAAAATAAAATAACTGAATTTCCAAGAATTTTTAAAAAAGCATTAGATAAACTACGAATTGAAAATATGGCATCAAAAAATATAATAGCTGGATTTAAAATTACAGGAATTTACCCTATTGACAAAAATAAGGTAATTAGTAAATTGCCTRCCTTCTTAACAAATCTTGATGAATCGACTAGTAGTGAAATTAATGGGTCAAAATGGTGTAAAACTTTTGAGCAGTTTTTATCAGACTCAAGATCAAATGAAACAAATAACCTAAGAAAAAATAAACGTAAAAAAGTATGTACACCACCTGGTAAAAGTGGTGTACGAGCTTCCAAGGCAGACCAAAGCGATGAAGAATATGATGATATTGATCAGCCATCTACAAGTAAATGTAACATTCCAAATGCCAAAAATTCCAAACTTGAAGAAGTTAATATTTCTGATTTTTCTAAGGATGATTTTGTAACTGTTAATTTATTATACAAATCAAACTCTTCAAAAGATAAAATGAAAACATTTTATGCACAAGTACTAGATATACATGAAAATATGACTGATACTACTGAACCTATCAAATTAACAGTTAAATATCTTAAACAGTCTGTTGGTCAAAAGAAATATATATATATGTATTCCCTGATGTTGAAGATATTGGTTGTGTTACAGCTGATCAAATTTCAGATAATATTATTTATCTTGTCATATTAAAAAGAAATCGGTACAAGTTCCCCATGACAATTGTTACTTAAATTGTTTATATTTTATGTTCCTAAACCATGTGATATTATTAAGTAGGCAACTAAAACCATGCAGTGTTTTAATTGTTAATAGTACCTATTGCAATTATAAGTAAAACAAGTGACTAATTTGTTAAATAAAAAGAATGATATTTATTTTATTGTTTTATCTAAAATATGTACTTATAAATTACCTTAAAATTAAACTACCTACCTATGTGATATTATAAAGTAATTTAAACTGACCAAGTTTATATTTTATACCTAAGTGTTTATATAATTTTTAATGTAATTTTAAATGAAAAAAAGTGACTAATTAATCTTAAAAAGAAAAGAAAAAAAATTAGTTTCATTATTTAATCAAAAACAGGTTAAAAAATTGTGTTATAAAAATTTTAATATTTTAAAAGCTGTTTTTTWAAAAACTATGTCTATATCTGTCCTATGTTAAAATATGTGTAGTGGAATATTATTTTTTCATATAAAACAATAGTTGTCCCAAGTTTGCCTAAATTGAGGGCCCTGTTAACATGACGTATATTTATTTTTAAATTTGAGTATRAAGAAAGACTCATTCATATTGTTTTTTTTTTAGACTATTAGTAGATTTGTATGATATAAAATATAATGWGAATTTATCACAAAAATGTAATTAAATTAAATTAGAATCTTTCAAAAATAAATTTCTTCAGTGGTTATTTGAGACATTTTTAGGCATACATTTGATGGTATACGTGGAATTATCATTATTTTTCAATCTTACCGACAAATGGTCTTATCACTTTTCTGGTGTGTTTTTTTAAAAATTTTGATGGTTGATTGGGCTTAACTTCAGCATAGCCCATCGTTTGGTGACATCCCCTGTTTGATCTGTATTCCCTCTTAATCGATTTGTTAAAGACTGAACGGTGCAATGGAGGTTTAATCACTGGTGTTTTTGGCCTTCGTATCAAGAATTTAATATTTTCCTGAACCTCACTCATTATTAACCTTGTTGAAGTAACTATATATTTTATAGACTTAATTAACAAGACTGACCTCTGTTACTTATTTTTATAATATAAACAGTTAATATAGAAATATAAACATCGTAACCTATGGCAATGCATCCATTAACAATTAATAATTATAATATAGCTAATACACAGCTATATAATTATTGAATGGCGGAAAATTTCCCCCCAGACATTTTCCCTTTGGTCGTTTTTGGTGAAGTAGGACATCCCCCCTTATATTTTTGATACAGACATTTCCCATCCCCCTATTATTTTTTAAGTTTACTATTAAATAATATAATATTATTTATTATATTTTAATAAAACATTTTTTTTTCATAAAYATAATACATTATACTATAATTACCTATTATAATAGATCAGTGGTGGATTAACGTATAGGTCAAGTAGGTCCGGTCCTAGGGGCGCCTTAATTTAAATCATATAAAGGGCGCTGTCATGACGTTCAGTACAAATGGAAAAAATACGAAGATGACGTACCTTAGCAATAATTCTGAAATAATATTATTTTTTTTTGTTTTTGATTGTATTGGTACCATTTTAATATTTTTACAATACATTTTATATTTGTGCACTAGAGTAATTCTTTATATATCTATGCTATAAGAGTTACTCTTTGGTCTATGTACATGGTAGATATTTTTGTTATTAGTCTGTACTTTTGTTGATAAAGAATGATTTTTTTGTTCAACAAATCTGCAATTTCGTTTTCTTGTTTTTGAAGGTTTTAATTCGACTTGACGTCGTGTACTTGTATTTAATTTTGTGAATTTATTTTTATATATTATAACATATTTTTTTTTATTTTTTAATGTTTGTATAAATATTTCCTAATATTTACATTACAATTATTATGAAATGCAATAGTGCATTAGGATTAGATAATCAACAAGCCATTTATAAACACTGTAAAATTATTGCTTTGGAATGTTGAATATTTTGTTTGAATTGGTTATAGATTTTACATTTTAAGGTATTTGTAAATAGTAGTTATTTTGCTATTTATATAGTTATACTTTTTTTTTTTTTGATATTATTCATTATTATATTTTTTTCAAAATCATTTAAATATTGATTAAATTTTTAGTGTTATTCAATTGTAATAAAATTTATGAAATTAATTAACTAATTTACAAAAAATCTATTTTTAATTTTATTCTTACATAATATCACTAGGTAATGAGTATAGTAAAACATTTTCTACATATATGTATTATTATCGTTACAAAATTATTAAATGATTATTAATTACAATTTAATAGGTAATTTAATTTAGCAAAGAACTGCTATTAAAAGAGTTGTTTTATATTTTGTTTATATAATTATAATTCATAATAATTTTTCAATACATTTTAATATTTTATTCATATTGTTTCAACTATAATTATTAATTTTATTTAATACTAGATGTGCCACCCGGCGTTGCCCGGGCAAAAGCCACCTCAGGTGAAAACCGGGATTTTTTCGGTTTGTATTGCCTCATTCGATAAATAAAAAAGCTAAACTTTTATATAAAAAAACTTAAAACAAACAAAAGGAATCCGTAATTAAAAAAAAAAAATGCTCGGTATGAATGAGGTTTTATTTATTACACATGATTTTGCTTAAAAATAGTCACGTCACAAAAATGAGATACTTACAAAACAGAGTTTTCCTGAAATATTGACTAATACTTATAAGGTTTCAATTGATATTAATAGGCACATACAGTTATGATACAATCTGTTAATCAATTTAAAACTTTCYGTTAAACTTTATTTTTTGTTTTGTTTTGTAGTGCACCGGTGCGTAAATAAACAAATATGACGGTTTTCCGACGCGCGAACATGCGACGTATAATTGTCCATGCGAAAAACAGGGAAATTCTAAGTTGATTCCGCAAACTTCCAACTACTGGCCTTGCATCGCAAAGRTYAGTCGTACGGAAAATTGTAGACTTTTAAAATCGAATGGTAAATCTGTTTGAGTCATCGGTATATGCGGGATCAAGATATCTTCTCCTTTGTATTTTCTCTTTATGATTGTTGCCTCAATGACGCTATTCATTAGCTTTTTTACAGCCAGTCTTGTTCCATTGCACAGTCGAGGTTGATTAATGTTACGCAGCATGATGACAACTGATCCTACTTTTAACTGCAAATTGTGTGGGGGTAATCCAGGCAATTCCAGTGAATTTAAACACTCCGTGGGATACTTGACTACGTCATCCTGGTTCATAATGGTGTCGACTGATTTGTAGGAAACCAACTGTCACGGTAAAAAATTATGAATGGTTGCATTGAGAGCATAAACATTTTTATTTGTTACCACCAATATTGCTCGTTCATCCAGCCAATTATGGTTGTTGAACTGTTGCGCTATATCTAGGAAAACATGCTGAATAAGCTCTTCTTTGGAGTCTGTGATGTGACAGAAATCTGTGGGTAATGTGATTAATCCGGCCGAGGTGTCCACTGTGACTTTATTATTTCCAATGTCTAACAACGGTTTCGAAAACATATCTGCAGTTTCATCTTGTTGCAAAAATACTTTCATGTTAGTTGTTAATTGGAATGTCTTAACGTATCGCCACAAATTCGATCATTTCAGGCATGCGTTAAGTTCATCAGCAACAGTTGATCGGGAAATGACTGGAAGAGTCTGACGAAAATCACCTGATAACAGAATCATGGYCCCACCAAAAATATTTTGGTTGTCACGAAGATCTTTCAACGTTCTGTCCAAGACCTCCAGTGACCTCTTATGGGCCATTGTGCATTCATCCCAAATAATCAATTTGCATACCTGTAGGATCTTGGCCATTGCGCTGTTTTTGGATATGTTGCAAATTGGTGTTTCTTTGATTTGCATGTTTAATGGTAATTTCAAGGCAGAATATAATAATAAGAATGTGAATGTAAGAAATAAGTCTGGGCGGCCATAATGCCTAACATATGAMATATCATCCTGAGCATATTCGCGCGGGCTCTCTATGTAAGTTGACGGCAAAATTGTCATTCTTCCCATATTATTCACATTTCCATCGGTATTTATGGCATCGCGGAGATGAATGTATTCTTCTGATCGWTGCAGTCGTTGGTTCAAACGGATATATAACAATTGTTCAGTCTCAATTTTGACATACATGTCAACTGCAAACTGATGAAAAAGTCATCGACACATCAAAATATGATTTACTTCACCTTCGCGGATCATGAATCTGTATGAATAGAAATTCATAGCACTAAATTTTTGTTGGTTTCAACACCTGCATTCAAAAATTATAAATTTTTAATTTGTTACTTAGATATATTGAATTAAAAAATATTACCGATTACTTGATGTGCCATTTTGATATTGAAATGGTATCCATATTTTCCCTAACAGCAGATCAAAGGATATTGTAACGCATCATAAGTCTTGTAAATTTCAGATACACGTTTCAAATCATTATTCCGACGAAAAAGCACAATATCTCTAGATTGTAAATTTTCTCTGACAACGAGAACAGCCACTTCGTCAATGGTGGGCGAATTAAACCTCCTTGTGTGTTCACCGACAGGTGTTTTGTCAGCTCGAATGACAATATTATGGCTGTCAGATGGCATCCGATCTAATGCTATTTTGAATAAGTTTACTAAATTGTTATTCTGATGAAAAAACATTTACTAACTGTTATCTATTCACGGCACTGTGATACTATTCTGTTTTGCTGATAAGCAATACAATAATATTGATCTATAATAAGATTCGTTGTCTTTTTAATAATTTTATTAATTTTTTATTTACTTATTATTAATTAATTACCTATTAAAATGTTTGAATGTGAAGTTTGCGATTCAAAGTATAATTCTATATCCGGTTTAAATAAGCACCATAGAATTAAACATAACAATATAGGTACCTAAAATAAAACCTGTTAAAAAGAACATATATTTTTGTAATGATACTAAAGATTCATTTCATTTAATGGCAAATTGAATTTAAAAAGTAACATATTCCTTGCTTTCAGTTAGTATAAATCACCTAAGGTCATCAATGGTCAGATAATAAATGTTGGTTACAGTAAAATTATAATATTCAACTCTGAAATAATATTTTTTTTTAAATAGTTAAAAAAATATTATATAACATAATATTTAAAAATTTAATTGHCAATAATAAATCAAAATGTAATAACACTAATAATTTATAAATAGGAGGGGTCAAACATTTGTGTATTACTTATGATTATGAATAATGTTGTAAAACGATATTATGGTATTTTAAATGTTCAATTAATACAGTTAATGTAAAAAATGACTTGGTACAATTTTTAAATGAACATAACATGTTCAATCATTGATCATTTAATTGAGTTCTGACATGTTTAATTCAATTTGCCTTTAAATCAAATGAATCTTCACAATCATTACAAAAATATATGTTCTTATTAACAGGTTTTATTTTAGGTATATTTTAGAGGTGCTTATTTAAACCGGATGTAGAATTATACTTTGAATCGCAAACTTCACATTAAAACATTTTAATAATTAATTAGTAATAAGTAAATAAAAAAATTATTTAAATTATTAAAAAGWCAACCAGGGGCGCCATTTCAGTTTTTTTTTAGGGGTGTGCAAACAATTAAAGAGKCCAATTTTTTCGCACCACCAGGCCAATCCTTAAAAAAACGTTTCTCGTGTTTTCAATTTTTCAATATAGAGTTTTTTAGTATCAAAAACATAATTAGCTTTCATACATAACAAATAAATTAATAAACTAAGTATAAAATATTCAAATTTTAGGTACGTACCTKATCATTCAGCTTTAATTATTTTTAAATTTTTGAACGCATAGGTACAATGATTAATAGTTACCTATATTTAAAATAAGGATATTAAAAAAAAAGGGAAAATACAAACTAATTATTCAAAGCTAAGTTTGTGACTAAAGCATAAAGTAAAGCGTTCAATGCAAATAATAAACAACTTGAAATATATTATATAAATACAAAATAATGGCATAGGTATAATTATAAAAGCATAGCAGCATAGGTTATTATTTAARTGGGTATCTCCGTTGCTTAATATCTGAAAATGCATATACAGCTTTATATAAATCAACGCACTTAGCTTCTTCTTTCTCTACATTTAAAACCATAAGATCACTTAGTCTGTTATCTCCCATTGAAGTACGTAAGAAAGTTTTAACATTTTTAAGGGATGAAAAGAATCGTTCATTTGAAGCAGTAGTAATTGGAAGAATCTTTAGTATAGAAATAATTTTTAAAGTTTCAGAAAAGGCTGTAGGAAGTTGTGACAAAGAGGATACAATAGAATCAAAGTTTAATTGAATATTTGTATTGCTTAGAAGCAATGATTTGGCGGATAGAAGTTCTGTTAACATTTTGGATATATTTATTTCAAAATAATTGTAGTGGTTTATAAATGAATGACGATAGGAACACTTTGTATTAAAGAAGTCAGGACTTGAGTGATCAAATATTTTAAACACTCTAAATATTTCTTTATTCTTTTCGGAAAAGCGTTCATTAAGCTCAGTCACAAACCTGAAGAAATAAAGCAAAAATGTTATTGATTTAAGCATTAAGCTAGTAGTTACAAATATAAAATGCATCCATGAAATTAAAAATAGTAAAATAGTTAATAAATTATTTGTTTATTTATTTTAATATTTTTACCTGTCAATTATCACATATAAAATATGTTTTTTTATATTTTCTTGAAGCAGTTTGTTTTAATGCAGGTTTCCCAATAGTGGGCTCGACATAGAATTCATCTAGTTTTCTGTTATAACATTGAGATCTTCTAGAACGGTTATTCCTTACATACTCTTCAATATTAATTTTGTTTTTAGTTGCACATACAATAGCTTTCTCATGCATTTTTGCAAAAGCAGTATCACTTCTCTAACTTAAAAGTTCATGTTTTGTGGAATTAACAAGATTAATAGCTGCAAACAATAATATTGATGCATTTTTAAATTCACAAGAAGCAGAATGAATAGTTTTTAATAATTTCTTCATTAAAATCAACATTAATATAAAATTATAAGATGATATTTCATTAAATAATCCCTCTGCTCTAGTAGTTTGATCTCCTTTAGTAGTTAGTATACATAAAACTTCTCTTATCTCAGTGTAACGGTTTTTTATTTTATCTAATGACGTGTACCAATATGACCAACGAGTTTCTACAAGTCTTTCTAAATTAAGTACTTAGATATTTTTTAGTTTTTGAGCTTGTATAAAGAGTTAATATCTTGTACTACCAGTCATAAGAAATTTGTATAGATCCTGGACAGTTTTAAAAAAGTTGACTACCAATTGAACATTTTGAATAGTATTTATGAGACAAAGATTAAGTCTGTGTGCATAGCAATGGATATATACAGCATGTGGTATAATATTTGATATCCTTTGCTGTACCTCTGTATATTTGCCACTCATTACTGATGCCCCATCGTAACACTGACCTACGCATCTGTTGATATCAATATTATTATCTGCTAATATTTTGAAAATTTCTTGAGCTAAATGTTGTGCATCACACTTTTTCATATGGAAACAACCTAAAGCCTTTTCATGAGCATTAAAATTTTCATCAGTAAATCGAATAATAAAACTCATTTGTTCTATTTTACCAGCATCATTGGTTTCATCAACCAATATAGAATTTAATGTTGGGCATTTTTTTCAAAATATTTTCTATTGTACATTTAGCAAGAACACTGATTAAGTCATTTTGATACTCGTGTGAAGTATAGTGACCATATCTTGATTGCAATTTTGTTTTAGTTTTTTCATCACCAAAGGTCTCGAGTATTTCAATAAAATTACCTTTATTTACTGATTCATTTGTCTCATTTTTTCCACGAAAAGCAAGGACTTGCTTTGCTAAATAAAGAGTACGGTTAACGGTATTTTGCCCGAATCGAATTTCCCGAATGAATTTTTTCCCGAATGGTATTTTTCCCAAAAATCCAAAAACCCGAAACCTTTTTTCCCGAACACCTTTTTCTCGAATCAAAATTCCCGAATGAATTTTCTCTCGAATAGTATTTTACCCGAAAATCCAAAAACCCGAAACCTTTTTTTCCCGAATATAAATTATAATACATATAAAAATAAAAATAAAAAT